GCTGCTGCTGCCCCTGGGTCCCCTCTGCTGCTGCCCGTGGGTCCCTGCTGCTGCTGCCCCTGGGTCCCTGCTGCCCGTGGGTCCCCGCTGCTGCTGCCCCTGGTTCATGCCCTTTAAAGCTCTTTAAAAGGGCACAAGCCCCCGGAGCTGGCAGGAGGACACTGTCAGTTCTGTGCCCAGCCCTCAGCACTCTGCCTGCAGGTGCTGAGGGACCGGGGGGGTCTCTGCACGCTGCCTGCGACACCGAGGGGGGCTGGAGGGGGGTGCCAGGGGCTGCCTGAGCTGATCTTTAAGGGTGGTGCCTCCTCGCAGGGATCAGGAGGGTCCAGGATCTCTGCAAAGTCCTCCAGCTCCCGGGGGTGTTTGAGGAAACTGCCGTGTCGTACTTCCGGAGAGCTGTCCAGCACCCCGCCTTCCGCCTGGTCAGCCTGGAGAAGAAGGAGCTCCTGGGGGGCTGCTGTGTCTTCGTCACCTGTCGGCAGCACAACTGGCCACTGACGATGGGCACGATCTGCTCCCTCCTCTACGCCAAGCAGGAGCTGTTTGCCAGCGTCTTCCTGAGCCTGCAGAAAGAGCTGGAGCTCTCTGTGCCAGCCCTGAGCCTGGCGGATCTGGTGAAGACGCACCTGAACAGGTAAGGAGGCCCATGGGGGGGTTTATCTCCTGGGAGCCCCTTTGCCTGGCTCAGCAGCACCCAAAATTCATTCTCTGGGAGTGCACTGTTGTCCCTTGGATGACAAACTTCAGGGAGCTCTTGCTCCAGCCACCATCAGGGTACGACAGAGAGGTGTGGTGTGTGCTGGTGGGCTGGGGCCACGCCCCGCGGCTGTGCCCAGGTTGTCACACGCTGTGATGGCTTTTTCACCTCCCTTGTCAGGGACGGGGCTTCTGACTCTTGTGCCTCTTCTCCTCCATCCCCTTTCCCCTCAGTTTGGAGAGCAGGGAGTGCAGCACTGAGCTCAGTAATGTCAGCAGAAGCCCCAGGCAGGAGCAGGGTGTGTTTGTCACCTGGGGCCGTGTCCTTGTGGGGTGAAGTGTCCCCAACCCCCCCTCCCTCCTCTCGCCTCTTGCAGCTTCCGCCTGTTCCAGCAGGCGGCTGACATCCCTGCCCCGTTTGTAGAGGACAAGGAGAAGATGGTCAGCAGGACAATGCAGCTGGTGGAGCT